GATATCGATCGTCGATCGTGAAGGTCAGAACCGTACTTGACATCCAGGGGTTTTATATTTGTACCTCTATATAGTCGCTATGTAACGATGATGATTTACATAAGGGGGTTTTGAATAAAATGTCATGGTGGTTTTATATAAGGGTCTGTTCCCAGCTATTGATAATGATCCTTTCATTGTATCTGATTTATCACTTTCACGGGTTTATTACGAATCAACTTAACGGCCTGCTCCCAGTTGGCTTGTTAGCTCAATTGGTAAGAGCGCTGCACTAGTATCGCAGAGGTCAGTGGTTCGAATCCCGTACAGGCCTGATTTTTTTCAGGTCTGATTTTCGCTATTGCTTAAATAGCGCTATCTACTGCGAGGATCGTGCATCATACGTATCTAATACCGCAGTTCAAAATATATGAACTTCATATATTTCATTGTATCTGATTTATCACTTTCACGGGTTTATTACGAATCAACTTAACGGCCTGCTCCCAGTTGGCTTGTTAGCTCAATTGGTAAGAGCGCTGCACTAGTATCGCAGAGGTCAGTGGTTCGAATCCCGTACAGGCCTGATTTTTTTCAGGTCTGATTTTCGCTATTGCTTAAATAGCGCTATCTACTGCGAGGATCGTGCATCATACGTATGAAATGAGACTCTTTATACTTCAATTTGTCGTGCCTAGTTTCTATTGCGAGCCTTGGGTGATTTTTCCTTATTTTATAGATAACTATGCACGAAATAAAAAAGGGTACACCCAATGCTGCGCCTAAAGCATAAACTGAAATCATGCGCGCGTGACTTCTTTGGAAAGCCGATAACGTGAATAATCTTGTACCATTATTTTCTAAATATAAAACGTTTCGTGGAAATTGCTTGACTTCTAGGAATCCTTAAGATCATTATCTTCCAGACAACATGTATATCCGCCCCTAATAACCAGAGTGAAATGATGTCATATTATGAGTCACCTCTAACATCTTTTTGATTCTGTTCCGACGGTTTTTTGAGTGTTTATCAAAACTCAAGGAAGTGTTCTTCCTAGACTTCGAATAAGAAAAAAACTTCAGCTGGAGATTTTCGAGTGCACCTCAAGCTAAAACTCGAGATTCCGATTAAACTGTGAATAAAGGCTGATAGTTTCGAAAGAAACTGTTTGGGGCTGCGTCTGTGGGAGTAACGAAATAATTTGGATATATCAACAAAGTTGAAATGGTAAATTAGCCACCGTAACGACTACAAAAGCTGACGTTTCGAGCGTTAGCCAACAAGAAGTTAACTAAGTCTAAGTCCATAAGTTCTAAAAGGAAACGAGGAAATGCCGCTTAACATACTTCCTTTACACCTGGTTCGAAAAAAATGTTGCCGTTTTTAAAGTTCCAATTCAGAAGTCGACAATGGTTTTTTCTCCCCCACACAAGGTCCTGACACAAGGACGGGATTAATTGAGTTATGTCTGCTTTCCACAATCGTTGTGTCAACAATCAGTTTATGTTTCCAACATACTGACTTCTCATTGGTTCTGAAAACAATAGCAATTCTGTATTCTTGTTCTAAAAAAGGTGAGCTGCGAAGGATTACTCTCAAAGGTATTTATGGAAGTTACACTCGTTACCTATCCCATCAGTGTTGGAAAATGGCGTCCATCTTTGAGCCATCGAAGGATAAAACTAACGGTACGAAGTTAGCGCGACTGCTAATTGATGGAGGTACACAAGCACTTAAAAAAGTTTTAGAGTCTTTCATACATCCACTTTCAACTCTACAAATTATGATAAACAAAAGCAAGGCGACCCTCGCCAATTTAAGGAGCAGACGCAAATTATACGATAGCCAATGGGAAAAGCTCTTTCCTCCGTCAGGCGACCCACCGGACTCTAACACATTTGATATCACTCTTCTACATTTACTACTTCGAGAAATCTGTACTGTTTTGATTGAACCTGCAACGGGATGGCACGATATGCCAGCAGAAACAGATCACAGTCGCGAAGCAGAGATTGTCCGGATTAAATGCTTCCGAAATAGCCTGTGTTTTAGCATTTCCACTGGTGCTCCTAATGACGAGTTTGAAGACAAATGGAACACAATTTCTTTTTCTTTAGTAACCTTAGGGATCGATCGGCTAGAAATAGTCCGCCTAAAAACAGAGAATGTCGATTACGGCACACAGCGACGAGTCGAAGAAGAGGTAGAGAAATGGCAACTTGATATCGAACCGAGAGTGCAGATCTTAGAGCACGAACTTGGACAGCTAAAAGTTGGGCGAATTTCAACTAATAAGCAGCCTACTTCAGAGCTGGGTGGATCTCTTGATCTTCCCAATTGTCTTCCAGATGAGGTTCTGGAGGTGTATGGCCGCTCGGAAGAAATTCAACAAGCTGTAGAATTTGTTCATAGCGCAACAGTCTTTATTGTTTCCTTGACCGGTGGACCGGGGTTCGGCAAGACCGCTGTGGCTAACAAAGTGGCCCACGAGCTGGCAAAACGCGAAAACAGCCGAACTGTATTATATTGCGCACTAAGATCCGAACCATCACTAAACGACGTATTTACCGAAATGATTCTTACCTGCAGCTCAAGCCCTTCTCAGCTGCCTGAGAATCCCAAACACTGGCTTCTGAACTGGAGCAAACAGCAATCTGGGAAAGTCACATTGATTCTTGACAATGCAGATCGTGTCCTCGAGTCTGAAGATCGACACCAGTTTGTGGACGCGTTACGGAAAATGAGGACCTTCTCAAGGAAAAATCTAACTTTTATAACCACGTCTAGAAAAACAGTCGAGGCACCCAAACGTGATTCAAGTATCCGAATCATTAGATTGAGGCCTCTCTCTTTGCCTGAGGCCACCAATGTTCCTTCTTTCAAGGGTTGGCGATTCGGAAACGAGACAGAAGCTCTCCAAAACGGAAAAAATGGTCTCACTGTGCGGTTGTATCCCTTTAGCACTTTGCATTGTTGGATCTTTGCTTTCCGACTACAAAGAGGAAAAATTAATTGAAATTCTCGAAAATAAACCTCTACATGTTCTTCAGGACGACGATTTGTCGGTTGAAAAGGCCATCAAGACATCATTCAATCTCTTAACTGAAGCAGAACAAAAGGCATTGGCAATTATGTCTGTCTTTCCAGGTTCATTCGATTCTGATGCAGCTGAGGCTGTAATTACAGCTGTAATAGATTCTGAAGTGCAACCAGTTCTAATTCTCCAATCACTCAGAAACAGGTCTCTCTTGGAGCAGCCAAGTTCGTGTAGATATGAAATTCATCAGCTTATCAAAATGTTCCTCTCGAAAGATTGTCACACCAAGTATTCACAGGTTGTTGCTCAAGGAGGAAGAGAAGCCTGTGTCCACTTCATTTGTCTACTTGCTTGCAATGCCAGTATGTACTGGAAAAAAGATAAATGCAAAGAATCTGTTTTGAAATTTAGTAGAGAAAGACACAACTTCGAGTATTTCTTAAAAATTTACGTTCACACGATAAAGAAACGTGATGCAGATTCTCTTCTAAGTTCCACCAGCGATATTTTTGAAGATTTTCCACAAAAGTGTATGTACTTAGAAATGTGCCTTTTACCTGACTTCTATGTAAAAATCTTGAAAGAACTTGGGAGGTACTTCCGCTCAGTAAGTCACCCCGTTCACATCGTTGAAGTTTTGTGCCTTCTCGGACATGAAAAGAGAAAAGTGGGCAAGATAGCAGAGTACCAATTTTTGATGAATCATGCCAAGCAGGTGTACTTTAACAATTACAAAGCTTTCAAATCAAATAATCTGTCTCAAGTATATTTTTTTAATAGCTATGCCTGCTTTCTTTCGGCACCAAAATTGCTTCCCAGTCGATTGCAAATGGTCTCCACAGTGTATGAAATAGCTTTAATTTTGTGCCGTAAAAACCTCGATGAACATCCTGAAACGGCAGTTACTTTGCAGTTCGTTGGACGGTATCTCAAAAGTTTGCAAAATCTTCAAGATGCAATGGAGATGTTTAACCGGTGCCTCGGAGAACATTTCATGACGGCTCTGAGCCACAAGGGCATCGCAGACTTCTATTTTGGTCGTTTCTTCTCCAGCAAGGATAACACAGACATGGAGAAATGCTTTGAGCATTATGAAGCTGCCCTGACTTTGATGAGGAATCTTGGTGTTGGCGACCACAAAGAAAGCATTTTGACGCTGAAAAACTACGGTGTTTGTTCGAAAATCAAAGGCAATTATCAAGAAGCAATAAGTATTCTAACCAAAGCAAAACAAGTCGCGGATATTGAATTGGAGGAGGACCACAAATGGAAAGTAATGATTGAAACTCAGCTGGCCCTTGTGTACGATTGCGTTGGAAATGCAGAAGAAGCGGAAAAAATGATGGAGAAAGCTCTTAACATGAACAAACGCCTCGACCAGTCCATCGGTCAGTTAGCAAATAGAAACGAGATCCGTGAATTCCTGTGGCGTCATCCACAGGTTGACCAGGCGGTTAGGTTTAATTCTCGTAGTTAAGTTTGACAGTTGTACGTATCTGTAAAATTATCCAGTTGTTCATGAGGTCAAACTACGATTATGCCTCTCCAGGCAAAGACGCTACCTGGACATAAATGGACAGTTGGAATCCTTCTTTCTGTTTCTGGTTTGCGTATGTCAGAACTGTGTTCCTTTCGTTTAGGATAGCGTAGAGACCAACGTTACCCTTTTACTTCAGGAAAAAGAGTCCATTGTGAAGTGTTTCTATTCATTCATAGTAGACTTTGGACAAGAGACTATCGTAAGACCGTTATCATTCTGATGGGCATAATCGAGGGAAATTTAAACC